CAGATTGCCCTTGAGCCGCGCACTTGCCGGTGATCATCACGGTGATCAACTCCAAAGATTTACTTTGGAGACCAGTTCGGTTGCGCCAAAGATTGGTGCCACTATGAGCTTCTTACGCTAGGTGCAGATGGTTTGGAATCAGGTTTTAGCCAACTCCCCTAGACTGACTACCAGTGGTCAATCAACCCAGTGGAAAGCGCCGGGCATTCGTTTTTGCCCTCACACTTTAGTGTTAACATCTCCGCCACGAGAAGGCAGTGGATAGGGCTTCCTCAGCAGAAGCTATTTGAGGCGCTTGGTCCTTTGGGAGCATTTCTAGAGGAGTTTGGGACGAATGGCCATTTCGGAGCCCGAGACACCCACTCCCGATCATACTGAGGCGTTTGGAGACATGACCATATGTTACGCATTAAATTAGTGATGGAGTCTACAAGGTCATCGCTTCCCATCTTGAAAAGAATGAGAGAAAACCCGTCCGGTCCTGCTGCTTGTCCTTTCTCCAGAGATTGGATGCAAGATCGAAATCTAGCTGCGGTAGGAAGTTCAGATGACACTGCTCACGGAGCCTCAGCTACACCGCAGGAGATTGAATTACTCCACCCAACGGTCAAGCCGTTGTTTCCTGCTCTGAATAGCTTGTCCATTTTTGTCGCAGATTGTTTCACTAACTGTGGCTCACCGACCTCGCGTGTTACGTGTCAGTTGGAAAAGTCTTTGACTGTTCCCTGATGCAGCTTCTACTTCCATTTCACTAACTATCGTTTCCCGCCAGTTCTCACGATCTTCCTCGAGGCTCATCTTGAGTTCACATTGCAGACGCCACCTACCCCTGCCTTGACCCCGGGCAGTCGGGATTTGACGCTTTTTCTCCATCATTGCTACTGATTGATCTGATATCTAATGCCTCGGGTGGGGGTACTGCTTCAGATTCACAAGCAACCTTTGTTGCGAAATGCATTGCTTGGCTAATCCGATTCCACTGTTTATCTTAACAACCACCCCGAAGCGCGTTTAGCTTAATGCACAGTTCTGATTCAAAACGGGCACGAACGGATGGATCGGATAAGCTATGATATGCCAATCGAGTTTGGTGGGATTTTCTGCGACCAGTGAGTTTGAGAGGCAACTGCACCAAAACCAGTGCATGGTCTGAGACCATAGGGTCTATCACGACGAGACTGCAACTTGACGTGGTGTCATGGTTTGTGCATCTCTCTGACCAAACGAGCTACACAGGATGGCTTTTGTCAAGCCAGGAGATCTTATCACGTCTGAAAGGTCAATGGGTAGAGGTCAGACAAAGTCCAGTCTCCTGGTCATCCAGGTTGGGGCTTGGATTCGAGTTAGCGTCTCAGTCGGTAAAATGGTGGAGGAGTAATCGATCCAAAGTAAATGAGCCTCTGCTTCGCTTTATCCGCTGCCTTGCGCTTAGGTTCCTGTCAGAACTAAAGGCTTTGGACGTGAACCCTAATTCTTCTCCTGCTTAGTGGCTCGACGGTACCCGGCAGTGTCTGTTCATCAAACTCTAATGCATACAAAAACAAGAAATAATTCCATACCGCATCGGTCGTCGCGCAGGATAATCAGGACCGCATTGCCCATTGCATCGCGCGGGATGGGTAGTGATAAGTGGGCTACTGCTCAGATATCCCAACCTTTGTTTACTTCTTTTTCTCCAGCATATGGTCTTCTCCATCTGCCCCTTCTTCCGATCTGTATTAATCCCTCAAGCAACTGGGATGTCCCTCACTAAAGGTGGTTGCCGAATAGCCCTAAGTAATGTACCACGAAATGGACTGCAGATTTCGAAGCCTCGTCAATCACTGAATCTGGGGGCCTTCAAATTGAGGACTCTGATGCAGACAGGTCAACAAGCTT